CCACTGAGCCATCTCCCTGGCCCCTTTCTTTCTTTTAAAGAGGAAAAAAAGGGCCAGGGATGTAGCTCAGTGGCACAGAGCCTGCCTGGCAAACATGAGGTTCTGAGTTTATTTCAGAGAGAGAGAGAGAGAGAGAGAGAGAGAGAGAGAGAGAGAGAGAGAGAATAAAACAGATTTTCAAAACAAGTTAGTGCTGGGCGGGGGAGATGGCTCAGTAGAATAGGTGCTTCCTTGGCAAGCACAAGGGCCTGAGTTCAATCCCCAAAAACAACAACAACAACAACAAAAAACAAGTTAATGGGTTGGGGATATAGCTCAGTGGCATAAGCGCCTGCCTGGCAAGCACAAAGTCCTGAGTTTGATGACTGGTACCAAAAATTTTTAAAAAGCCATTCCAAAGAGCTATCCAAAACTTGTGTGGCTATCTCATAACTTCTTTTTCAAACAGGTTGAAAAAGAAACATAAATAAATTCAGCAACCAGTGTAGAAATCTAAATCCAGCACATATAAAACAGGAATAAAAGCCTGCAAAAACAGTGTCTCAGCCAAGAACCCTAAATATGAAGACGCCTTGATCTTCCCGTGCACTCAGTTTAAATGTATCTTTTTGTTTTGTTTTGTTTTCATTTTTTATTTATGTATGTGGTGCAGGGTCTCACTATGCAGCTTGGACTCCTAGTGAGCCCCCTGTTTTCAGCATCCCCAGTGCTGAGAGGTGTGCGTCACCACATTGACCAGGACTGGGTCCCCAGCTCAGCAGTCCCGGGGCATGGGGCTGGCCGGGCATGGGGTGTCAGGGATCCAACCCAGTCCCTGCGTTTGCCTATGCAGGTGAGCTAAGTCAGCTGGCCCTTATCATTGCTTAAAAAAAAAAAAAAAAAAAAAAGACAATAGGCCGGGGAGATAGCTCAGTAGAATAAGCGCTTGCCTGGCAAGCTCAAGGTCCTGAGTTCAATCCCCATACAAAGCCAAGATATTTGAAAGATAAGGCATAAGCAAGCAAAAGATGAAGTCCTGGCAAGCAAAAGATGCACATTCTTGATTACCTAGACAAGTCACAATGCCGAAGCTCACTGAAATATTGCAGACATCATGAAATGAAACCTAACTCTTAACTCCTGAAGATTCCAGTGGGATCTCCAAAATGATATGGAAGAAATAGAGCCCCTACCCTGCTAGGTTCCAGACATGCCAAATTTGTGTCCCTGAAAGCCATGAATGCATTTCTAGATACAAGCAAGATTAAGAGGAGAGAAGGCTTATTGAGCAATAGCTCCTGAAAGATACAGGGTCTCAGAAGCGGTTTGTTACACAGGCCATTTCTCCAGGAATGTTTTGTGGAGCAAGATCAGGAGGTGGGCGCAACGTGGGTCAGGCTGTAATGAGGCAACACGAGCGCAAGCGCAGCCGCCGCCGAGCTGACGCTGAGCTAAGAGGAAAGCAGGCGCGCAGCAAGGCTGCCTGGAAGGGACAGAGGCCTTTGGGAAGGGATGGGGCCAGGCGCTGTGGTTGCCCACTGGGGTGGCTGATGCTTATCTGGATTTACAGGACGAGGTGGTGCTAATTATGTTATAATTTCAAGTTATTGTTTATCCGTGGGGGAGGCGCGCAGGTCAGGCTGTTACATCTGTATGCTGGGGCTTGGCCTTCAGATGGGCCCGCAGCCACAGTTCTGATGTGTGCTCGGCCCCTGCACTTGTACGCCTCAGGGCTCGTCCCTGTTGACTGCTGTTAGTTTCCAGCTAATTTAGTTGCATATACTAGCAGGCCCTGTGCTGGTAATGCTCCACCATCACCATCTTGAAATTCTTTCTTTCCTTTGGTTTTATTTTTGTTTTGGTTTGGTTTGGTTTGGCTGTTTGCAGTACCAGGGATTGAACTCAGGGCCTTGTGCTTACCAGGCAGGCGTTTATTACTGCTGAGCTATCTCTCTGGCCCCCAATTCTGGCTCTCAGTGTGAATATGTCCAGGCTGGCCTTGAACTCACTATGTAGTCCAGACTGGCCCTGAACTCATCTTGATCCTCCTGCCTCAGCTTCCAAGTGCTGCGCTTGCAGGTGTGCATCAGCGTGCCCAGCTCCAGGAATTTTGGGGCCAGAAGCTTTGCATTGGCTTGGGGCTCGGTGCTTCCCGCTGGTGAAGCGTGGGAAGATCTCAAGCAGGGGCCACAGAGGGAATGTTTGAGCCAAGGCCTGGAGGAGGCGGGTGGACAGGGGCCTCCCAGATAGGTGTCTGTGTGCAGCCTGCTGTGCCCAGAGAACAGGGCCAGGGCGCAGCTTAGCAGGGGTGCTGGCGAGATGTCACAGCTGAGTCACGGGAGACATGAGGCAACAGCCCAGCCCAACTGCCATAATGAGGCTTAGGGAGCCACTGTGAGAAAGTGAGATTTTAATCTAGATAGGCATGACTTCCCCAGCGGTGACGCAGGCAGGTCTCAACAAACACTCCCCATCCCACATAGTTTCTGTGGGCAGGAATTTGGGAGGCGCTTAGCTATGCGAGCCTGGTTGGGGCCGGCTGTGGTGGCACACGCCTGTAATCCCAGCATTTGGGCACCTGACGCAGGAGCATCACTGGGAATTCAAGATCAGCCTATGCTACTGAGACCATCCTGGGCTACCAAGTGAGCGCAAGGCCAGCCTGGGCTGCAGAGGGAGAACTTGGCTCAAAAAACTAAAAGAATTAAAAAATAAATAAATAAAAGCAATAACACAACACAGACGAAAATCACCATTGTAAGTGACCACTTAAAGCACACCACACTAGCACTAAGTAGGTGCACTGTATGAGCCTGGTCCACAACTTGGTTGTCCCAAAAGGGCTGCTTCATTGCTGATGCCATTGGGACCTTTCCGTTTGTCACTGTTCAGCACTGTGGCTGGGATTCTTGTGCTTAAACCAACCTTCCCTCTATGTGAGCAGACCCCCTCCTTTTTTTGGGGGGCTACTGGGGATCGAATTCAGGATGCAGGCACTTAGGCTGGCATGGGGCACCCAGGGTTCTGGGGCCAGCACGGCATGCGGTACCAGGAATTGAACCTGGGTCCCTGTGCTTGCCAGCCAGGCACTTACACTGCTGAGCTATCTCCCCAGCCCTCTTCCCTCTATGTGAAAGTCCATGGATATTCACCCCCAAGTAGAAGGGAGAGATTTTTTTTTTTCCTTTTTCCTACTGGGGATTGAATCCAGCCCAAATACGGAACTAACACCAATTTACGTCAGCTGATAAGTGAATACACAACATGTGGTACATGGATGCAAAAGGACATTACTCAGTTCTATGAGGTCTTTCCTCCTTGGTCGTCAGCATTGAATGCTGGACTTTGCACTGAGCTACATCACCAGCCCTCTTTTTTATCTTTAATGATATCTTTTTTGACAAGGGTTCTTCCTAAGCAGGCTGCCCAGGCTGGGCTTGCAGCTTTCAAGCCTCCTGTCTCAGCCTCCCAGAGTGCTGGGGCCACAGGGCACAACTGTACTACCAGGCCCCACCAACAGGGCTGTCCGTTTAAGCGTCAGCCAGGCTGCTGTGACTTTTCACCCACTGAGCTCTTCCTGAGTCCTGCAGGCCCTGCTGCCTGGGTAAAGCTGAGAACCCTGTCTCCAGGCAGAGGTCTGTCGCCCTGTCACCTCACCTAAGTCTTCCTCTGCCAGCACGAGATCTGGCTGCAGTGATGGCCCCGGACATGTCACCCTGGGCTGGAGGGATCTTAGACCTCAGTGGAGAATAAAGAGGTGACCATGGGAGCCATGGGGTGGTCTTTGCTTTGTTTGAAGCCCAGAGAGGGCCAGCCGCTGCCTCAAGGTCACAGAGCAGCGCGGGACGGCTAGCCCTCTCCCCATTGGCTGGTCGCCAACTGTCGCATGCATTTCAGCTAAGCCCTTGTGGTGCTTTGGGCTTCAGCGCACCGGTTATAGAGCTGGGATGAAAATAAAAACAAAGACGGCCTGCCCTGAGAGTGGAAAGTGTTGGGTTGGATCTAACGATGACGAGTCGCTAATGACGTTCGCCTCTAGGATGGAGGCAGGGAAGTGACCCTAAGTGGGAGGGGGCTGGCAGCGGGCCTTTCTCTCCTGTTTCCCACCCACCAGGGTATAGGACAACAAAGCCCCGGAGTCCTTGCGAATACCTATTTCCAAAATGAACCGCCATAATGGTAGGAGGAGGAAAGGAGAACCCTTTGTAGCGAGGCAGGGCTGTTAATAAAGTTTGTTGCCTTGGCAACCCAGGCCGCCAGGGCAAGCAGCAGGGAGGCGCGCACGCCCACCCCACCCGCCTACCGCCCGCTGGCCTGGGGTCGCTCCCCTCGGTGACGGAAAAAATAAGGCGGTCGCAACTCCATAGTGACGGACAAGAGGCTTAGCTAATAGGAAGACGGACCGTTTCAAGGCCAGCCAGTCATCTACGAATTCTGGACCTGGGCGGACCCGCCCTCTCCCACTTGGACCTAGATAACCCGACCCAAACCGCGTTCATACAGAGAGATGGCGCTTTCGTCCAATGAGAGCGTAGACGTCTGGCCTGCACAGGGGGCAGCGGGACAGTCCCCATGGCAGCGGCTGAAGGACACCTGTGCGAGCCAATGACAGCGGCCCACAGCGCTTTGTTCGCAGCGTGGGCGTGACGGGGTTTTGTAAGGGCACAGAAAACCTGAGGAGGGCGGGAAGAGTGAAACTTGTCCAATAGGAGTGGGGAAAACTTCATAGCAACGGAAGAATGGCGGCGAGTTTGGCCAATAGAAGCTCGCAGCAGCGGTGGTGAGGCGGGGCCCGCGGGGGCCGAAAGGAGGTGCGACGATTCTGTCCCGCGAGAGCTAGAAGAGGCTGTGGGAGGTGTTGGCGGCGGCAGCGCGGGCGCCTGAGGAGGAGGAGGAGGAGAAGCGGGTGAGGGGCGGCGCGGGGCCGATCTTTGAGCCCCCTTTCGGCCCCCGCCCCGCGCCGCCTGGGCTCCCAGTCGCCCCCGCCCCTGCTGTTCCCGCCCCCGGGCCTGGGACGCCCCTGGCACCCACCCTCGCTCCTCCCTCGGGCCAGCCCTGCGCCCCAGGACCTCTGCTGACCCCTTTCGCAGTGCCCAGGCCTCTCCCGCACCCCAGCCCCTCCCCCAAACCGCGAGACCCTCTCCGGCCCTTCTCAACGACCAGGCCTCTCCTGCACCCCAGGGCCTCTCTCCCAGCCCTCTCCAAAACCCGTTTTCTCCCTGCACCGGAGCCCCTCGGCCTCTCTGTTCCCCCACGCCCTCCCTGCCCTCGCCCACTCTCCTGGCACCTCCTTCCTGCCCACCGCTCTCCGGTACCCCAGCTTTGCTCTGCTTCTTTCCCCGACCTCAGGCCTTCCTCCAGGTTTTCTGTCCCGAGGTCCTGGGTCTCCAGGACTTGCTCCCAGGCCCTACCCTAGACCCCAGGCCCTCGGCTCTCCTTGCCCCGGCCCTGTGGTGCCAGCCGTGTTCTGCCCTCACCCATAGTCCCCGGCCTCAGTGCTTGCGCCCCATGGCACCCCCTCTCCATTTGCCGCCAGCCTTCTGTCTCCTCCAGACCCCTCTCCCAGCGATGTAGCCTCTCCTGATGCCTCTGCCGCTCCCCCACCTTGCCGGGCCCCATCCACCCCTCTGCGGGGCACAGGTGGGCCTGGAGCGCCATGGTATGGGTACCGCACAGACCCTCCCCCGTGTTAGGTTGTATTTGGTCTCATTTTCTTCTTAACTGCTTTATTTTCTTCCTTTCCTCCTTTTTCTTTCCCATTTCACCGGGTCTACCTCTCCATGCTGTCCCTCTCCTCTTACCTTACCCACTTTTGTGCTCCCTCTGGACTCCTTGGAGAGGGAGCAGGTGTCGGGTCTCTCCCTGCTGGGCCTCTTCCGCACCTCCTGCAGGCTGCATCGCAAGCCTCCTGGCCATTCCCTGGGGCTGCTGGGTAGGAGGGGCGGGAGCACTGGTTTCCCTGAGCGAGACTGAGCTCTCCTGCATGTCCCACCGCGCTAAGCCTTAGAGTTGCCTCTAACTGCCAGAAAATTAGCTTCCCGCCGGAGGGCCGACCCGCATGCGCTCTCGTGATGAGGTCTTCAGGCTGTGCAGGGGTGAAGGAGGTGCTCCCTGACACGGGCCAGGCCGTGTGGGCTCTGCCTGCTGTCAGGAGTATCTGGTAACCTCCCTGCACAGCCCTGGAAACTTAGATTGCCCACGTTCCGCTCTACAGATGTGCAGGCTACAGGGCCCACCTGAGTGCCACCCAGCTTCTGGGAGCCTCCCAGCCTGTGCCCAGCTGTGCCTCCAGGCTGCCTGCTGTCTGTCAGAGACAGCATGGTCCACAGAACAGCATGGGGCCCGACAGAGTGACAGCCCGAGAGCTGTGTGAGAACGACGACCTGGCCACCAGCCTGGTCCTCGACCCCTACCTCGGCTTCCGCACTCATAAGATGAACATCAGGTGAGTAGTCCAGGGGCCAAGGCGATGGGCTCCACCCCTGGAACCTCTCCCCTGGTACCCGACCCCTCAGCCCAGCCTCCCTGCAGCTCCAGGTAGGGCTTGGCAGGGTCCAGAAGGCCCTGGGACCCAGGTGTGCCCTCTCTCTCAGCCCAGTGCCCACCCTGCGGCGACAACAGCACCTGCGCTCGGCGCTGGAGGCCTTCCTAAGGCAGCGGGACCTGGAGGCTGCATACCGGGCCCTGACACTGGGAGGCTGGATGACTCACTACTTCCAGAGCCGGGCCCCGAGGCAGGAGGCCGCCCTCAAGACCCATGTAAGGGACACCTTCCTGCACATGCTCCAATCCCTAACTCTATCCCTGGGGACCCAAAAACAGTAGAGAAGGGACCTGTGTCTATGTCAGAGGAGAACATAGGCCCTGAGAGGGGCTTGAGTCTTAGAGAAGGGATGCCCTGCCGCCAGCGCTGCCCTTGCCTCACCCCAGCTGTCACCCACAGGTGTTTCGCTACCTCCGTGCCTTCCTGCCTGAAAGTGGCTTCACAATCCTGCCCTGTACCCGCTACTCCATGGAGACCAACGGGGCCAAGATTGTGTCCACCCGTGCTTGGTAAAGGGGCTGTGAAGGAGGGGAGCTGCCCTGTGGCAGGGGTGGGGTACAGAAACAGGGTCCTGGAGGGCTTAGGGGGACAGGCACCGTGTCACATGGATGGCCCCTGGAATTGAGCCCTGGAGGCAGCATTCACCGCCTGGGCTGTGGGCCCTGGCCTGGCAGGAAGAAGAACGAGAAGCTGGAGCTGCTGGTGGGCTGCATCGCGGAGCTGCGGGAGGCTGACGAGGACCTGCTGCGGGCCGGTGAGAACGACTTCAGCATCATGTACTCCACCCGCAAGCGCAGTGCACAGCTGTGGCTCGGCCCTGCTGCCTTCATCAACCATGGTGAGGCCGCAGGGCAAGGGTAGGGGGCTCTCCCGGGCCCCATCCCCTGTTCTCCTCCCGCCCCCTGCCTCTGCCCCTGCCCCTGCCCCTGTCCCCACTCCCCAGCCCCTGACCCTGAAGTACTCACTGGGTCCTCTGTGCTCACTGCCTCTCTTCTCTCCCACCACTGGCTACAGACTGCAGACCGAACTGCAAGGTGAGACCTGTGGGCTCCACAGAGTGGGCAGCAAGGGATCTGGGCAGAAGGGACATCTGGGACAATGAAGAGCAGTTTCCAGCCCTGCAGCCCCTGGCCACTTAGAGCCTGGGACAGGCCCTGGAACCCAGAGTGCTGTCTCAAGCAGTCTGGGTGTAACCAGGGACAGAGTGGCAGCTGGCGACTCCCCCAAGCTTGGCCTCAACCAGATAGCTATGACAGTAGGTATAGGGGAGCAGCCAGGGAGCCCAGGAGGTGTAGTGCAGACCCTGTCGACACTCTCGGTGGGGACTGGGGAAGGGGAACAGCTGGCACAGAACACCAGCAAGGGGCCTTTCCTGCCCTGGGTCTCAGTAGGCACCTTGTGAGGTGTGGTAGGGGGCTCTGGAGGGAGACGGCCTGAGCCCCGGCTGCAGGCCGAGAACCAGGCTTAAGAATGCTGGCCAGTGAGACTTCGTCCTAGGTCCGGGTGAGGTCAGGCTGCCAGGGCCTGGTTTCCTGTGTCAGGGTCCCAGAGTGAGTGAAGCGCAGCTTCTGCCTGGCCTCGTCATGTCATGCATAGATACTGGGTAAGATGGTGGAGACAGCAGCACACAGGGCCAAGAGGAAGAGCTGGCACGCTGAGGGCCGAGAGAGCAAGATCTTCCTAGCTGTTGAAGGAAAGCTGGAGCATGAGAAAGTGTTCAGGTCGGACACATCTCTCCAGAGGTCCAGGCTATGGCAGGCCAGGGTGCCCAAGGGCAGTGTGGTCAGGGAGCTACGGAGCCTCCTGCCAGGGGGCATGGGAGGGTTATTAGGCAGCACTGCAGCTGGAGCACAGGACTGGCAGGAAGGGAGAGCCAGGGCTCAGGCAGCCCCCAGAGGTGGCGTGGGATGGAGCTTGAGGCAATGAAAGGCCGCCTTTAGGTGGGGCTGAGTGAAACAAAAGGTAAGGCTTCAGGTGCTGGTCAGTTGGCCAGGGAAGGGCAGGTGGCTCAGGGCAGGGTGCAGGGTGAGCAGCTCTGGGTGTGTATGTGGGGGGGTAGGCCTTGGTCCCACCACAGAGCCAGAAGAAAGTGTAGGAGGGAGCAGTTCTTGGTGCGGCCCCACTGGCTGCTGGAAGGGAAGGGGCCTCCGCACCCAGGAGGCAGGGGCACTGGCCAGAGGGTGTACAGAGTGCCGGCCCTGGCCAGTGTGGCCACTTCCGGTTGGTGCTTCTCAGGGGCACGTGGGGACTGGGGTGACGGGCCAGGTGGGGGTCAGAGGAGCCCTGGCTCAGGCGTGGTGCTGAGTGGGCCCGGCCCCAGTTTGTGCCTGCAGACGGAAATGCAGCCTGCGTGAAGGCGCTGCGAGACATCGAGCCGGGGGATGAGGTGACATGCTTCTACGGCGATGGCTTCTTCGGTGAGGAGAATGAGCACTGTGAATGCTACACCTGTGAGAGGTGGGCACAGCCGGCCGTGGGCTGGGGAGGGCAGGCCAGCAGCCCTAGAGTGTGGTGGCCCCAGCCCTGCTCTGCCCCTGTCCCCTCCCACCCTTAGGAAGGGCCAAGGAGCTTTCCGCCTGCAGCAGCCCGGGGAGCCCGAGCTGCCACCACAGCCCACTGACAAGTACTTGTTCCGGGAGACCAAGCGGCGTTTGCAGCGGGCCCAGGATGGCAGCTGCCAGAGCCTAGTAGGCCCACGGGCCTGTAACCACTTGTCCCCCCTGCGCTGGGACCCGTTCTGCGGTGAGCACAGCCCCGGGGACCCTCCCTCCCCCTCTGCTCTCTGGAGGAAGCCCACCTGTGACACCTCCCTCTCCTCCTCCTCCACAGCTGTCTGCCAGCCCCTGCGCCTGCCTGCCTGCACCTCTCCTTTGGACAGCTTGCCGCTCTGGCTCCAGTGGCTGCCCCAGGCCCAGCCCCGAGTGCGTCCCAGGAAGCGCCGACGCCCCCGGCCCCAGCAGGCCCGGGTGCCCCCTGCCATCCGTGAGGCTCAGGTCTCCCTGCACCGCTGGGGAGGCTGCAGCCCACACTGCCGCTTGCAGGGGGAAGCCCTGGTGGCCCTGGGGCTGCCCCACTGCGCCCGCTGGGCCCCGCAGCAGGACTGGCACTGGGCACGCCAGTATGGGCTGCCTTCCGTGGTACGTGTGGACCTTAGCCGCCTGGCCCCAGCCCCACCAGCCACCCCTTCCCCCGCCAGCACCCCAGGCCCCAGCCCCTCTCCAGCCCCTATTCCCAAGCAGGCCCTTGCCTTTGCCTCCTTCTCTCCACCCCGGCGCCTGCGGCTCGTGGTGAGCCATGGCTCCATCGCCCTGGATGTCAACAGTGAGGTGTTGTGATGGGCAGTGGGCTGCGCGAGGAAGAGTTGCCCTCCCATCCCCAGGGGTCTGACCCCCACTCTGTGACTGCTTCCCCTGAGCCACTCTCCCCAGCAGGAAGCTCTGGCCTTTGCTGCCCTTGCTGCCCCTCCCCCACCTCAGGACTACGGGAGCCCCTCTTCCCTCCTCCACTCTTCCCAGGGAGCAAAGCCATAAGAGAGTGGGGCCACCCCATGGCATCTCCCCAGAAGCCAGGCCTCTAGGAGGTGGAACCAGGGGTTGGTCCTCCAGGTTGGGGAATGGGTTTGCTCTGCCCTGCAGCTGTCCAGGGTGGGGGACAGTGGGTGGGGAGTGTCAGGGGCTCGTCCCCTCACTGCCCAGAGGTCTCAGGGAGGCTGGGTGCGACCTCATTTTTCTATGGTGCTATCCCTGGTGCTACTAGGGTGTGGGGGGTTCCCTCCCCTCGCCACACCAGAGTGGGGTATGTTGAGGGATTAAAACCACTTGAACTTATTTTATTAAAACCTTGTTATAAGGAGCAACCTTGGGCCTCTGTTCTGGTTCGTGTGTTGGGGGCTGGCAGTGTGGAGGACAGCCACCACCGTGTTGGGGAGGTGGCAACACATGCCTGAGCCCCAAGGGTTTCTGGGAGGATGAAGGGCAGCGGCAGGACACGAGACAGGAGCATCTCAAGCAATCTAATGATTTAGGAGGACTGTCTCAAAAAAAATAAAAAGGACTGGAGATATGGCCCGGCGCAGAGGCCCTGGTCAGTGGGTGGGAGGTGCCTGCTCCGATGTGAGCCTGGCTTTGCAGGATGAAGGAAGTGCTTGACCAAAGGCAGGTGAGCACCCACAGCTCCGACTCCCGCCCAGCAGCACACAGGCAGACCCTTTCTGACCGCTCGGCTTCACCGAGGTTGCCTGTATGTGTCCAGAGGCTTTGACGTGGTCACCCTGGAGCAGGGAGGGTAAGGCCTCTGGGCCTGGCAGGGAGCCAGCCCACCGGAGGGCAGAGGTGGCATTGTGACAGGCAGGTGCACATGGCCAGTGTGCCCCTCAGTGCTAGGCACAGAAACGAGGGTAAGGGAGAGCTAGGAGCCAGTAACTTTTTACTTTAAAATTCATTGCATGGGGCCAGGCAAATAGCGGATTAAAGCATGTGCAAGCAGGTGTAGGGGCCAGGGAATCCCCTGGGCCTGCCATGCTGCCCTGCCCCTGGGGCACGCTGAGATGGCAATTGAGGCCAGGCGTGGTGGCACACACCTGTAATCCCAGCTCTTGGGAGGCTATAAACAGGAGAATCACTACAAGTCAGGTCTAATCCTTTTTTTGTTTGTTTGTTTTTTGGTTTTGGTTTTGGTTTTTGTGGTACAGGGGATTGAACTTTCAGGACCCTGCACTTGCCAGGCAAGCACGTATTCTACTGAGCTGTCTCCCTGGCCCAAGTTAGATCTAGTAGTGAGATCCTGTAGACCCTTCCCGAAAATACTAAAAATAAAAATAAAATAAAATTTATTGTATATGCTGGCTGGCTGATAGCTGCCCTTTCCTTCCCTGTATAGTGAGAAAATTCCTCTTACAATGCCATTTCTACAAAGCCTTGTTTGGTTTTCTTTCCCATATTAAAAATGGAGGGTTGGCTTCCTTTCGGCCGGAACCGCCATCTTCCAGTAATTTGCCAAAATGGCTAATACAAAGGGCCAGAGGAGGGGAACCCGGTATATGTTTTCCAGGCCTTTTAGAAAACATGGGGTTGTTCCTTTGGCTACATACATGCGAATCTACAAAAAGGGTGATATTGTA